TGGCGAGCAGCGCCCCCCTCCTGGCCCCCGTCACTCAGGACGACGATCAGCACCCGGACCCCGCCCCCAGACACAGGCCCCGCGCCGCCCCCGCGCCTCCCCCTGCCCCACCGACCTCCCGCCCGTCTTCCTCAGACTACGCGGCGGATGCGTTCGGAGACGGCGCGGAGCAGAACCAGCGGAGCTCGGAGACGTGCGACGGGCCGCTGGGGGGGCTGGAGAGGGAGTGGGAGATGGTGGAGAGGGAGAGGGCGGCGCTGGAGCGAGAGAGAGAGATGGTGGAGCGAGACCGAGCGGCGCTGGAGAGAGAGAGGGCGGCGGTGCAGGCGGAGAGGCTGTGGCTGGACCGGGAGCGGGCGGCGGTGGAGCGGGACAGAGCCATGGTGGAGCAGGAGAGGGCGGCGCTGGGCCGGGACAGGGAGGTGCTGGACCAGAGGGCACTGATGCTGAACTCTGTGGGACACTCGGGGCACCTCAACGCCCTCATGTAGACCGCCGGCGCGGCGTGGGGGCGTGGACTATCCCTGTACGGACCTCGTGGCGGGCTGGCAAACCGCCTGCTTGTCTGTGGGTCCAGACTCTGGATCCACAGAAGGACTTCTGTGAAGGACAGAGCTCGCTGAGTGGGCGGGATCAAACGGCTCGGCGTGCAGGTCCATAATAATCAGAAACATCACCTGAGTCAGGTGTGGCCGATGGCGTGTTCTCAGGCGGCTGTCGGGCCGCCGTTGGATCTCTGCAGCTGTTCGGCCGGAGGAGGAGGAGCCAGCGCGGCGCACCGCTCCAGAAGAGGAGGAAGTGGCCGACGCTCAGCAGCAGTGATGAAAACGGTCCGGAGCTGCCTGAGAACACGACCTTACTGCGGAGGCCAGTACGTTTGGTTCTCAGTGGACCGTTCCGGGAACGTTCTGGAAGCGCGCTCCTGGGATGCTGACTGGTTACCAGGAACGCTGCACAATCAGCGTCAGGCAGGAGTTTTGTTTCTGTGTTTAATGAAAGTTCATCAAGTTAAACTCGTTTCCATCCTCAGTGCCACAGAGTGTTCTCTTTCTTCTCTTTAGGAACTCAAAGGGTTCTGCAGGGTTCTGCAGGGAATAGTGAAAACTGGAGCAGGAACAGGCTGTTCCCGGGAATCCCTCACTGTGATCACACTCGTGAGATGATGCTTGTGTGCTGAAAGTGTCCAGAGGAGCCTTTAATTAAAACAAAACACCAAATTGTGACTGATACCACTCAAACTGCACTGAGCAGCCGGATTTCAAAATAAAAGCTCCAGAGTTCTTCACAGTGATGGAGGGGGGAGGGGCAGACTTTAGTAAACATTTTCAGGACTAATGGTTCCACTCCAGTCTAATTACACAAACTGGGAGGTCCAGCCCTGAACTTCCTGTACAGGTGCAGGGTAGCTGAATCCTGAGACCTCGGCAGACTTCCTGTCTGCACCTAAACACCAATCATATCTTTGCACCTGGAGCAGGAGGGGGCACCTACAGCCTCTTTTCTGCTTTT